CTGCTGCACTCAGGCACCCCCGGTCTTTCTGTGACCCCGAGGGTCCTGAGACCACACTGTCCCGCGAGGGTTCCACCCCCAGCTTAGCCACTGGAACGATGTCCCTCAGTGGAGCCCACTTCTAAAAGTTCGGTTTTGTGCTCCACTGCTCTATCACTTGCCAGAAGCGGCCGACGGAGGCCCCCTCCCCTGCTGTCTATCCTCCCGAATATCGCCTTGGATTCACTTCTCCACACGTCCTACCTTCCAGAAAGTGGTCGCTTTTCTATTCAGAGAGTTGCTGCTGTTCTTTTCTTCGATCTCCTATTGAGTTCGTAGGTGTTCAGAATGGTTTGATCCCTATCCAGCTGAATTCCTGGGACCAGATGAAATTTAGGTCTCCTACTCCTCTGCTATCTTGCTCCTCCACCTAAGTTGCATAAATATTGGACTATTCCATTTAGATTAATTTTGACCCATGGATTTGAAAAGGGAGTTAACTAATCATTATGTGTTTTATGTGACTGTATTGATATAATTAGATCGATGGCTAGTCAGACTCTGTAAGTATGAATACTAGTGGATAGGGCTCTCAAGGGGCCTGAACATTTGTACATCTGTTGATACAGTTTTCAATTTCTTTGAATAGTTTAGCCAATTTACACTTCAGCTGTTAATAAACATATTCAGCCATTTAACAGCAACCTTGCCAGCATTTTATTTTACCATTCTTTAAAAAATATAACATGTTCTTCGCTAAGTAAACATCCAGATTAACCTTAATTTGCCTCTCCTAGGTGACAAGTGAGGCTGGACATTATTTGTATTTTCTGGACATGTTCTTTGCTCACAGACTGAGAGATAATTTATTGCATTTATTGACCCCCACAGGATAAAGGAAGAGATGTTTCTGAACCTGGGGCCTGACTGGTTCCTGCTCCTCGTGCAGGGCCACGTGCATCCCAGCACAACTGTGTTGGGGTTGAAACTGCTGCTGCACTTTTTGGCGAGCCCCTCCCTCCGCGGGAAATTTAAAGATGGTCTGTGTGCGGGATCCTGGGTGGAGCGCAGCTCTGAGGGCGTGGACATTATGATAGGTGAGTGTGGGGCCTTTACCAGGAGGTGGGGTGCCACCTCATCCGGGGCTGTGAGTGAGGACCTGGCAGGCTCCTTCCTGCTTGGGGCCTTCACAGCTCTTGCAGTAGGATCACCTTGACCTCTGACCCTGATCAGCGCAGTCCCCTCCTACTTCCTGGTCAGGGTCCTCTTTGTCCTCACTGCTTTCCTGATGCTGGGGGCTTCCTTCCATTCCTCAAAATCTCCTGAGCTCTTTTTCTCTTCCTGAAATGTTTCCCCCAACCCACAATACCAGCAAGGCTGTCCTGGCTGGTGTGGGTTCATCTCTCAGGTCTCAGTTCAAATGCCACTTCCTCCAGGAGAGGAGGGTCCCACCTGAATTAGGGTGCCTCTGTTACACACTCTTTGCCCCAGTTACTTTTCTTTACGGTGCTTGTCACAATTCACAAGCATATATTTATTTTGGTATTTAATTCCTTAATGTCCCTCCGTCCCACTACATTCTAAGTGCTTGATGAGGGTCTAGGGTTCTGTATATTTTGTTGAAATGCTATGTCCCTATTGCTTAGTATAAAGTTGCCTTACTTCCTCTAAGGTGGTAGACACTAAGTAAGTATCTGTTTTTGAATAAATGAGTGAAGGAATGAATGAGTATGTCAGGAATAGGAAAAGGAACTCTTGTCGAATACTTTCTTACGCCCATGTATGTATGACATATATTTCTATCTGGCATTTCTATGGGATGGGTAGGTGGCAGGGAATTCCTTTGTGTGCCCAATCCCCACATTGACCAGAAGCAATAGCAATTGTTCTCAGTTGGATTTTGTGCCCCTTCCACCTGATCAATAGATAACCTGAAGAGCCAGTCCCCCATGCCTGACCAGAGCCCCTGCCTGCTTCCTGGGTTCCGCGTCTTGAAGGACTTTCTGGGCCACCATGTGCATATTCCGGAAGTCTACCTCATTGTGTCCACCTTCTTCCTGCAGACGCCACTTACAGAGCTGATGGATAGACCCAAAGTAGGTTCTTGGAGTGCCCCTGGGAGGGAGTGACACCCCTGGTTTTCTGATCCCATGTGACCAAGACGGTTCCCTAAGATTCTCCATCCCTACCTCCATCCACTTCCTCCAACTTGTGTTGTGTTCTGACCCACTTCCTTCCCTCGCAGTGCCACCCCCTTGGCTAGCCCTTCAGATCCCCTGAGCTCCAGGGCCTCTGCCTCTCATCCTCCCTGCCAGGAGGTCTGTGTTTTAAGGCTTTCTCCTTCTGGGCATGGCTAGAGAAGTCACCTGATGATGGGGGTGGCACGGGGAGGAGAATTGCTGCCACCACAGAATTAGATCCTCAGTTCATGCCTTCTGAAAAAGCATGTCTCTTTACCTTAGCCATGCCCCTCGATTCCCCTACATTTTAGTGTAAACCATATGTCCTCTCAAGTCTTCTGCCCCAAAGCTGCCCTTTGCTCAGATGACTTACCTCACCGTGGGAGTGGAGGACCCCGGAGTGGGGCATTGCCTTGGCACCCCACTTTCCACCACCTGTTTATGCCATGACCCTCTTCATCACCCTCTTTCTATTGCCACTGGCAAAGGGTAGCTCTTCCAGGCTGATCCAGGCTCCTTTCCTGAGTGACCTCACCAGTGGTTGGCCCTTCTTTCTCCTGTATTTTAACACCTCCTTTTCTATGGAATCTTTCCTCATAGACCATGTGTACAGTGAACTGTGTCCCACCTAAAACCAGAAGCTGCCCCCATTGACTCACACTCTTGACCAACTGCTGTCTTATTTATCATCCTCCTGTCCTTCTTTAGCCAAATTTCTCCAAAGAGGAGCCTACACTCACTACGTATACCTTCTCACCATACACCCACTCACTCATTCATTTGCACCACATCCGAGGCTTCATGATCCCCCCTGTGGGATTGGGTTCAGACTCCATAGCCGGCATCAAGACCCTTTGTGATTGGGTGCCTGACCAGCTTCTTTGCTTGCCTGCCCTTTGTGCTGTAAACCTCCTGAGTCACCTCTCCATTAAGACCAGCTGCTTTGTGCTTGCCTCCCCTGTGCCTTTAATGAGCTCTTACTCCCATGTCACCTGCCTGGTGAGGGGTCATCCCTCAGTACTCAGCTCAGATTCCACCTCTTGCTTAGATCCCTAGACAGGGGGACTCATTCCCTCTGTGTGCCTTAGCACACCTTCCCCTTATATGGCACTGACACAGTTATATGATTTCCTCTCTCCTTAGCCCCTGAGCTCCTCAAGAACAGACCCTACTTCTTACCTTCCTGGGTGCCTGAAAAATAGCAGATTCAGAAATTGTTTCTCAGTCTCAATTGAGTTGAGTTAAATTGCACTGAGTTGAAATTGGGGGAGGGGCATGGCTCTGTAAATAGAAGGCTAGAAAATCTACCTGGGGCGCCTGGGTGGCTCAGCTGGTTAAGCAACTGCCTTCGGCTCAGGTCATGATCCTGGAGTCCCTGGATCGAGTCCCGCATCGGGCTCCCTGCTCATCAGGGAGTCTGCTTCTCCCTCTGACCCTCCCCCTTCCCATGTGCTCGCTCTCTCTCTCTCTCTCATTCTCTCTGTCTCAAATAAATAAATAAAATCTTTAAAAAAAAAAAAAATCTACCTGTCTTGCACATCCTTGTATTTGACCTATCTAAATCTTGATATATGCTAATAATATTAGAGATCACACTTCAAAATAAAGTTCTTAATATGCTGTGCTAGGTTCACCGAAACACTGTATTTCTATTTCTCCAAGAATGTATCGTAGGGAACAAAAACATCTGCTGAATGTCAGAACCCGTGATAGATGTTTTACATATTTTATTTCACTTGATATTTATAACCATCCCATGGGGTAGAGAATGGAATTTTCATTTTACAGAGAAGGAAACTGAGAGGCTGAATAGCTTGCATAAGCCCAGCTTTTCAAGAGGCAAAGTCAGTTCGCCCCACTGGTCAACCCCCATGTTCCCTCTGCTACACTCGGCACTTTCCCCAAAGCCTTTGAATTCCTCATATGTCCTCTATAATCTCATTTACAAAAATTCCTTAAAGTTGATTGTGATCTCAAACCAAATGAAAGAGCTAAATTCGATGTAAATTGCTGGTGGGTCTGCAGCATCTCCTTGGAGGTGTGTATTTCCCTTATGCACCACTGAGGGGGCTGAAGTTCTCCACATGGGCTAGCCACCTAGGCTGCTACTGTGCTGTTTTGCCTTTCCCACTCAGGCCCCCTGGGAAACATGATGTGCTGGCTGGAAAGCCAGTCCCCTTGGTGTGCCTCCGTATGTCTCTCTACAGCCCTTGCCCCCTCTTTCAGGAGAGCCTGGATACCATGCTCCAGTGGCTCCTGCAGAAGCACCACAGTGAAGAAGTCCTCCGGGCTGGGCTGTGCACTGAAGGTGCCCTGCTGCTTCTGGAAATGCTGAAAGCCACCATGAACCAGGTGAGCCCATTCCCCACATCTCATGAGGAGGTTCTGATGGGAAGACAAGTTTGGAAGAGTCACCTTGACTTTTTCCAGCAGCTTCTCTTGCTGATAATTAGCAAGTGTTATTCAGAATGCTTGATAGAAGAGGCAAGGTGGGTTCCTTGTGATAACTTGGGTGCTCAGTGGAAAACCCAGCCGAAGCGTCCCCAGTGGAGTTTAAGCACTTTTACCAGAAGACATCTATTTCTCGTTTGTTTACATATTTGAGTTTCTTCACTGGGAGATTTAATGCCTTCAGTCAGGGGAACATATCTGAGCAACTGCTTTAGGTCAGAAGCTTGAGGGGCTGGTAGGGGGTGGAACGGGGCCTCTTTCCTCAAAGAGTTAACTTCCACCATGACAGGTGGGCCTCACACATGAGTGAGCTGTGAGGTAGAAACCTGTTAGAGAAGACAGATGCCCACCAACTACATACATGACATGGACAGCCATTAACTCAGGCCTTCAGGGTCCTCTAGAGATAGGTGGAGAGGTCATTTTTGACATGAAGGCAGGTGTGAGGGGGTGAAGGCCTTGTGGCCTGTGAATGGGAGTAATTGTGAGCCAGAGCAACAAGAATTTGCATGGAGGCTGAAAACTTCTGACTTCATTCTGTAGACCCCAAACGTTGACTGGAGGCTTGATTCTGTGTGGGGAAACCTTACTGCTTCTGTAAAATGATGCATGCTTACCCTTTGCAATTTAAACAAAAGAGAAAAATAGAAAGTAAAAATCACCTGAAACACACCCATGCAGGGATAACCACTGTGAACTTTAGTGGAATGTTCTTCCAGACACCTAAGATTATACCATAGTCTTACAGAGGGTTAAGCCACATAAACCCCTCTTGCCTTTTTTTCTGAACATATTGTTGGGAATTATCTATACATGTACATGGAAATTTATGTTGTTTTTAAGAATGTTCATTGTTACAAAAAGTCTGTAATAAACTTTCTCAAGCAGATATCCTTTCTCTGTAGTTTGATATTCTTCTTAGTGTGAATTCTGGGATGTAGGATAGTGGGTCAAAGTGTCCTTCATGTATTTTCTTTTGGACCCACTTCTCAGGAAGGTTGCATTAGACATTATACATACGTGTTCCTCCATCTAATGTACATCCCACCATCTTGTATAGGAGTGTGCAGCCCCGTCCTCACAGCCCCAGCTGTTGGGTCTTGGCTTTAATCCAGTTTAAGAGTCACATCTGTAATATACCAGATAACCATTTTATGTTTGACATTATAATGTAAATGCATGGTGTCTCTCTCTCTTTTTTTTTTTTACTTCTCTCAGCATACTATAGATTTTCTTTATTTTACATGCTTTCATGTTATTCATTTTGCTTGCTTTTTAAAAATAACATTAACTGGTTAGAAAGGTAACAAACTCTTAATGCTGCAAACAGCAAATATGCATTTTTTCAGGCACCCAACCTCAAAATTCCTTGAACATTAGGTCTATAATGGAACCATGAGTAAATTTTCCAAAGGAGGAAAGTGTACAGTTCATATTCTCTGAGTAGGACAAAACAAAATGAAATGGATAACAACGATAAAAAACAAAAAGTTTAACCACATGGACATTAAAAAATTTGAGTCAAGAGGTCTTTAAAAACTGCAATCACATTAATTCTAGAAAACAAAAAAAATCAAGATGCCAAATATCAAAATCTTAAAACTAGACAGAAAAAAAATCTGGAGAATATATCCAAAGTTGGTTCTTTAAATCAATCCACAAGTCCTCAGCTCCTTAGGTAATGGGAGGGTCGGGGTAAAGAGAGCATGACCCTACAAATACAGAATAAGAAGGGAGAAATAATCATACAGAAAATTAAATGAATTAAAAGAGACTATTTGTAAAAACTGAATAAAATATCTATTACATAAACAAGGTCAAAGAGACATTTAAGAGCCTAAACAAAGCAATAATGAAAAAAAAATTGGGACCCCAGAGTTTCATAGGAACAACTTAAATAATACAAGAATTATGGATTTAACATCTTCTTGAATAAAAAGAAAGGAGAACAGTTTTTTTTCAGTAAAGCTAGCATAATATTTATATCAAAACCTGACAAACATATAACAAAAAGAAAACTGCAGCCCACTATCATTTATAAATATGCACTCAAAATCATAAATAAAATATTTACAAACAGAATAAGGACATGCACTGAAAGAATAACATAGTGACTCAGTGATCTCTTTGCAAAAATGCAAAAAATCTATTGATGCAATTCGTCATAGGTAAGTGGCTAAAAGAAAAAAAGCATATCATCACCTAATTACATGCTAAAGGAGTATATAATAAAAATTAAATACATTCTTGTTTTTAAAAGGAACAAAAAGTGTGATCTGTACTTTCTTAGCATAATATCACACATACACACACACACACACACACACACACATATTATAGCCAGATTGCCTGGGTTCAATTCCTGGCTTTGTCCTTTATCTGTCAGGTAACCTTTGGCAAGCTATATAACCTCTCTGCACACCTCTGTCTTCCCATCTGTGAAATAGGGGTAAATGTAGAGAGTGGTTGTGAGGGGGGAAGAGGAATGTGTGTGAAGCCCTTGTAACAATTCCTGCACATATTAAACCCTTTCCCAACTGATGACCAGTATCCTGGGCTAATCCATAGACTTAGGTGTCTACAATTAGGTGTCTTGTTGACTGTCTCAGAAAGCCCTCGACTTCAAATCCTTTGGCTCCTCTGCAGCCCCCAGTCATGTTCCCATGCACGGCCTCTCAGGAAGTGTGCCTTCAGCCCTCAGGAAGCTCTGGAGATGACACCTGGGAACGGACTTTCCCGGCCAGTGTGCTGCAGTTCCTTGGCCTTGTGCACAGCACCTACCCCCAGGATCCTGCCTGGCGGGCCCCGGAGTTCCTCCAGATGTTGGCTGCAGTCACCTTCCCTCTGGGAACCCACAAGGTAGGACATGTCACTGCTCTGCCCACTGAGAGCAGGGGTGAGTGTCATCATGCTTCAAGGGCAAAGGGTGAAATTCCACCCCAAATTTAAATGCATTTTAAGGCAACCTGGCTGAAACACTAAGTAAACAATGTGGGTAATTTTCCTTTTTTTGGCTGAGATGCAGCTTGGGGTCACTTTCATCTCTGAGATGCAGACATTTTTTGAGTTGTCATGGAATCTGAGTAATGAGAAATTTGGTGGCAGACCAAGTCCAGTTCTATATGGAATACTCACACACTGCTAACATGAACCCACAAATTCCATCCCAGGAAGCCAGTGGCCCATGCACCAGACAGGAGACAGGGAATAGGAAATGTCCTGTCTTTGGGTCTCATGCCCCTCGACCTGTTTGCAGGCCATGACTCGGGACTCCTTGCATTCAGAGGGTTTGCTGAGGCCCAGCTTAGAGCCAGACAAGCCGAGGTTGGGAGGGCAGAGGGCCCACTGGGTCCTGAGGACATAGTATGAGTGTGGGCCATGGGAAGAGAGGCCCAACAGGCCAAGGGAGCTCAGTGGGCTGGGAGCATGCGGCAGCTGAGAGGAGCAGGTAAGGATGGTGGGAAGGGCAGGTGCAGGAGAGGAAGGGCAGACATCCCCTCATCACCCCTACTAGGGTGCAGTAGGAAGCTGAGACCCCAACAGGGAGGGTGAACCAGTGACGCGTGTCTGCAAATCCATAACTATAGCTAAAGGAACGTGTTAGAAGGCACTCAATGCTAAGTGGAAGGTTTAGAAGTCGTGCTGAGCACAGTGTGGGCAAATAGTGCATCTATTTGCTCCATAATTCTTTGCTAAACAACCGAATGAATAGAACCAAGGTGTTCATTCAGCTACTCTTTTCTAGAAGTGTGTTCATGGTGACAGCTGCCATCTACTGAACACCTACCACAGTCCTGAGCCTGGTGCTTTACCTAACCCTAGTAGCACCCTAGGCAGGTGGTTTCTGTAAGGGGGAAAGTGAGATCCAGAGAGGCCAAGTGGGGCTGAGCAGTTTCTCCTGCGGTTAGTGAAGACCGTAAGACCCATCTCACAAAATGTTTGAGAGAATGAAATAGGCCAGCATTTACGTGATTCATGAGTGACAGAGCCAAGACTGAAACCTCACTCTCTCACTCCAAGGCCCGCGTCCTTTCCATCAGTTTAAAATAAAATTAAATGGCCAAATAAAATTGGAGTAATTAGTTTTAATGAAAAAACTAAATATAAAGACTAGAAGATTTTCAAAAAGATAAAATGGTTTGGTGGGTTAATATAAACTAAAGGAACATACTGGAAAAGTAGGCATTAAAAAAAAGATGCAGTAAAGAGCAAAGGAGGTCACTGTGGGCAGCACTGGAAGGGTGGTGGATGGGACAGAGTCCAGGCGCACCCCCAGGCCCGTCAGGGAGGAAGGCCAATCCTGCAGGCTGCCCCTCATCATCTCCCAAATGAGGGCCTCTGGAGGGGGCCAGGACCCTGAAGTCTGTGGCCTGACATCCTTAGTCCAGATGACCACCTTAGCTCCTACGCCCGCAGGCCAGGCTCTCCATCTGCTGAGCTGGGGTTCCAGCCGGCTGCCTGCCCGCAGCCCACACTCTGACCCAGGGCTCTCCCTCCTCACACTCAACAGTTCCTGCCTGGGAGCAGGCCTGGCTCAAAGTCACCTCCCCAGCTACCGCAGAGGAGCCAGACCCTGTCTTGGGACTCCTGGCCCCAGTTTCAAAGCGCTTCTCCCCATACCTCCTAGCCTTGTCCTGGCTCCAAGTCAGCTTCAAGAGGACTTTGTTGCACAGAAACTGCAACAGGCCCTCCTTATGCAGAAGGCTGCTGGCCAAAAGGCTTTGATTTGCTGTAAATATAAATGGCATCTTTCCAGTCCAGGCTGCATGGAGCTAATTAATGCAGTCACCACCTCCCTAGGTGCCATTAAATTCATTTTATGGCTTAATTAAGAGCGGCTGCATTAATTTTATGAATGAGCAAAGGGAGGTGCCGACAGATGAATGTGCATGAAAAGTTCATGGGCCGGGAGTCAGGAGCCACATGTCCTCGGGTGTGTCATTCGGTCTCTCAGCAACCCCGTGTCCCCCCTGGAATCTGGGCTGACAGCCCCTGCCTTATTGATCTCATATCTTTATAAACATAAAAATGAGAAAGTGAAGGCCAAGGTGCTTCAGGGACTTGGATGCCTGGACTTGAGGAAGTCCTCCTTGTCTTGCCAGACAGTCCTGTCTGTCAACATCAGCAGGGCCTGGCGGGTAGTAAAGATGAGGGCTCCACCAGGAGGTGGGGACAGGCTCTCTTGAACACAGCCCACGGGGCATTGTCAGGCATTGCCATGCTCACTGTTCCCTTGCTGTGGCCTCACATGTCTTTGTGAACCTTTTCATGGTCGTCATTTGACTGATCGTGAGCTCACACCCTGGGCTTCATCACTGACTATTGCAGGCCTCTCTTGCTCCATGCTCAGCTTCTTTCCATGGCTCCCACCTACCTTGTGTTCAGAGACCACAGCAGGCCCCCTGATGAGCAATGGGACTCTGGAAAAGCCACCTTCCTCCTCAGAGCCTCGATTTCCTTACATGTTGGGTTTGATAAGAACCCCATCTGTGCATGCCTCAGAGGTGGACACGAGAGCGCCCTGAGGCAGGGCAGGCCACTCATGGGGGTGTTCTCTTGCCTTTGAGGAGCCCATGACTCAGCTTGCCCAGAATGCCAGCAGCCCTGGGACTGAAGCCGAAGGCAACGGCATCACAGAGGGTCTACAGGCTCCTGTCCAGTCACATCCTACCCAGAAGGAGCTGAGGGAGTTCATGCAACTACTCTTGAGGGAGTTCTTGCTGGTAGCCTCCAACCCCAAACAGTGGCTGCCACTGGAAGTGCTCCTGGAGGTGAGTTGGAGAGGGTGTTTTGGGGTTGTGTGCTGTGAGAGCAGGTCTGGGAGGACATGGGCACCACAAGGGCAGGGAATGCCCAGGGAGACCTGGGATCTTTTTGGAGCACTCACCTAGGCCTGTAGATGCCAGCCGGCTGGGGGTTGAGAACATCTCCTGGAACTATAGTGATGTGGTGGGAATTGCAGACCCTTGCATGGCAGGGAGCTCACCAAGCAGCATGTGGATAGATGCATGAGGGCAGGGCTTTGCCAGGTTCCCTAGAAGCAGAGCCTGAAGCAGAGATTTTGTGGAAGTGATTTGGGGGCTGTGCTCTCAGGAGAAGCACAGAAAGGCAGCAGAGGGGGACGGGAAAAGCAAGCTAAGAAATGGTCTCCGCCATAGCCTGGTCCCAAGGGGAACACTTGGTGTGCTATCTGCCTGCCTGAGTTGGCTCCACCTTGAGGTACCTGCCTGGTAGTCATTGCCTGTGGGTCCTCCACAACTTGCCTCCTCCACCCAGGAAGTGGGTGTCACCTCTCAGGTGAGGGAACTTTGTCAGCAGAGGGCAATGCCCTGGAGAAGGGGCAGTTGTGAGCTGCGGGAAGCCCATACTCCCGGCAGCTGTGGTATTAGCATATGGGCCACACAGGAAGGCTCAGCGGGCACGAAGTGGATGTGATGGCTGTGTGGCCACTCTCTTAGTCCCCGGTGTGATTCCAGGCTTCTCCAGACAATGCCACCAGCCAACAGAAGCGAGACTTCCAGTCTGAGATCCTGCTTTCCACCATGGAAATATTTCACACGCTGAGTGGAGGCAACGTGCCCATGCTCAGAGGTGAGTAGGGGTGCCTTTCTCCTCCTTTATGACACAGAGCTTGTGGCAGCTGAGCAGGAAAAACAGCCCCTGGCTCATAGTGCTGCAGGGCCACGGAAGCCACCCTCCACCTGCACATCAGTCCTTCCATGAATCCACAATGAGAGCTCACTGACTCTGCCTAGAGGCTCCAGGGGAGGTATGTGTGCCCCTCTCCATGACACGCCTGCCATCATTGGGCCACTCAGAGACAGAGAGCCTCTGAGCTCAAATCTGTTCTCCTCTGGCTTCAGTAGGATTGGCCTCTTCCCTTGAGGGAAGTCAAGATGCAGCTGGAATTTAACATTCTTCTGCTCAGCATCTTGTTCTCTGCACCCAAGACTGGCCACAGGAAGTGTTTCTTCAATAGACGAACCTGGATGAAGATGTTGCCATTGCCCCTAAGAAGTTGAGATTGAAGCTGCCTTCAGAATACCTAGTTCCAGGGAGCCGTACCTTCCCCACAGGATTACAATAAATTCCTCTCTATGGTTTCTGAGCCACAGAATCGTTAGTGACATGGCTCATCTTCCAGACTCTTCCTTGCCCCACAGTGTGGCAACCCTGAGTTTTGGTCTTTCTTGGGAAGCATCTGCAGGGCAGTAAGGTAGCATGGTGAAAAGCATAAGCTGATAGTCCCGGTTCTGCTCTTGGCTCTGTCACTAGACAGCGGTGTGACTCGGGGCAGGCGCCTGAAGCTGTGAGTAAGGATGGCAACTGTGGCTAACTCAGAGGTTGTTACAGGGATTAGCTGAGATCATCACATCCCCCTCTGAGCACAGTGCCTGCCATGGTGGTGAGCACAGACAGATCAACGTTACAGCGTCATCCTCTGCTCCCTGTAGCGACAGGGCCTTGGGTCACCGTGACAGCCTTCCCGAGTACCTGATGCCTTAAATTCTCCTCCACCCCCGTTCCAAATGCCTCCTGGAAGAAATGCTGCCCCTGGTGTGCCTTCTCCCCACTTAGTTTATGTCACTGACAAAATTGTTCAAGACCAGTTTACTTTGAAAAACATGTATTCATTGGGCACCTACTGTGTATAAGACCCCATTTTCCAGCAGCAGAGCCTGCAGAAGGTTACATCAGGGTGTACAGAGGTGGGTAAGTTGTGGTTGGTTACCGTGAGGGGCTTGGAGACTGTTGTGGAGAGAAGGCTATTTGGACTCTGATGATTTCTCAGACATGGTCTGTGTTCTCACTCACCCCCAGGCAGTAAAGAGCCTCAGCCAAATGCAGAAGCTGCTGCTCCTTCACTCGCAAACATCTCCCACTTCACCCAGAAGCTGGTGGAGAAACTGTACAGTGGGATGTTCTCGGCAGACCCCAGACACATTCTTCTCTTCATCACAGACCACATCGTGGTGGTAAGAACCCTGGGCTGGCCATGGGGGGACGGGCAGAAAACTCCTGCTGACCCACCAAGTGTCTGTTTGATTCATTGCTGGCTGCTGTCTAGTTGGTCCAGTTGGAGCCGCTGTCCTTCCTGGAAATAGATTCTGAGGGCGGGCGGGGGAGGAAGGAAGAGGACCTGTATGGCCCAGGTAGTACCTGGTGGGTGTTGAGTGCACTTCAGGGCTCTTAGCTCAGGCTACTTGAGATCCATCTCAGTGAGTGGGAGCAGCGCCCCCCTGTGCTGGCAGCTGAGCTCTGTCCCCTCCTAGACTCTACGCTCCCACTTTGGGTTTTTATTGTGATTGTTGGTTTAATCTTAGTTATTGTTATTCCTCATCAACAAAGAGCCAAAAATCTCCTTATCTACAAAAGGCCTATTTCATTTCATTCTTAATATGCACCTCCATGGGTCACATTTAGGCCTTCCTGAAATTTGCATGAGTATTTTTTCATAGTCTGATTATTCCTGCATGTGCTGTCCTTCTCTCCCCAGATCAATCTACATACACACCCACACAAGCAAATGCACGCCTACAGATACACCTTCAGATGTAAGTGTGTGTATACACATGTGCACATTTTTTATCGTACACGTGTACACACACACACACAGAATCACACAATCTCAAAATTCTGGAGGGGAACCCTTTACTTTGTCCTCATCTTGTAGAGACTTTTCCTGATAAGTGGCCATTCGTTCTTGCCTTGAACCCTCCCTGTGTGAGGAGCTCATGCTGGTGTGAGGCAGTCCCAACCAGTAGGGCGTCTGTGATTGCTGGAAAGCTGAACTCTGCCTCCAGTAACTCCTGCCAGTGGTTCTCGGCATGCCTTCTGCAGCAGAACCTGGGGTGGGGAGGGCACTCTCCTTCCTCTTCATAGAGAGGGTGACCTCAGTGTCCCCAGAATACTTCTGTCTGTGGAGTCAGCCGCAGACCCCAGGACTGGGCCTCTCCTAGGGTGATAGTCTGGCTGAGGCACAGTTCCGGGCGAGTCTGAAAAGAACGTATTCAGATGCTTCCTCAAGAATAACCCCAAGAATAACCCCAAGACAGGAGAAATATGCCTTGTTGGCTCTGAGGGGATTAAAATCAGATTCTCGGCAAGTTGTGCTGAGAAATGAGAGTAGCCACTGAGCTCCCATCTTAGTTCAGGCCATGATGACAGCACCATGGACTGCGTGGCTAAACAACAGACATTCTCACAGTTCTAGAGGCTGGGGACTCCAAGGTCAATGTGCCCACAGATGGTGTCTGGGGAGGGCTCTCTTCCTGGTTTGCAGATGGCCATCTCCTCACTGAATCCTCAGGCAGTGCAGAGAGAGAGGGAAACAAGCTCTTGTCTCTTCCCAGAAGGACACACTCATCCCACCATGAGGGCTCCGACCTCATGACCTACTTAGCTCCCAGAGACCCCGCCTCCAAGTGCCATCACAGTGAGAAGCTAGGGTTTCAACATATGTGTTTTGGGTGGATGCAAACATTCAGTCTGTAGGGGCTCCCCAGTGGTCAAAGCAAACACTCAGAGCTAACATCAAAGAGTGGGTACCCCCTGGGGCTGATATGCCTTCAGGGGGGGCGCTAGGCCAGACGCCGCTCTGCACATATCCTCCATCCTTCTCTCCTCGCTGCCTTTGACTCTCACAAATCTTAACTTCAGGTTGACAGATGTGACCCATCTGAGGAGCAGGACAGGATGATGATTAAAAACATGAATCCCAATTTCCAGCAGATTTAAATAAAACTTAAATTCATAGGTATAAACATATTAGCTATACAACTCTAAGAGAGCGATCTCTAACTAACGTGATCTTTCTGATAGAATGAAACATTTTGCACATAATCTTTGACTATGGATTCTTTAAAAAAATTTTAAATTTATTTTTATTGAGATATAATTGACATATAACATTGTGTGAGTTTAAGGTATACCACAGTTGATACATTTATAGATTGTAACAGGATAACTGTCATAGTGTTAGCTAACACCTCTATCAAGTCACATAATTATCATTTCTTTTTTGTGATGGGAACAATTAAGATCTACTCTCTTAGCACCTTTAAAGTTTATAAGACAGTATTATTGTCTATAATCACTATGCGGTGCATTAGATCTCCAGGACTTTTTTTTTTTTTAATCTGTTAGTTACAGTGAAGCAATGAAGCCAAATAGATGGATGGACCCATCGGTGTTAAGGCTACGAATCAGGACCTTCTGCCCTTCTGCCTCCCCCCTCTAAGTTTCTCATGTACTAAAATTTGTTGGCCTCCCATCTACTTTAGATGACACGGTGGTTAAGAGCATGACTCGAGTGTCTGGGGTGGGTTTGACCTTTGCCGACCACTTAACCTCTCTGATCCTCAGCCTCCTTATCCCTTAAGTGGGATAATCTTAGTGCTCACTTCATGATGTTTGATGTTTAAATGCGGCAATTCATGTAAATCAATGCAAAAATGCTTAATAGGATAACTGGAATATTGTAAACACTCTACACATAACTACTATTAATAGTTAATAATGTATTAAAAAATTAGACACTATTAATAGCATGTTCTTATACACTGAGTGTCAACCACAGCCATGTAACAAGCATTTCAGGAATTTCCCTTCTGTTTTTATAATACGATAATGGTAAACTTTTAATTTCTTCTTTTTAATTTTATTTTTTAATTTTTTATTTTAATTTTTAAAAAAATTCTTTTCTACACAAGCATTTGATAAATCCAGATGTTTGAATTTACTTTAGTGATCATTCACTTAAACAGAAGCTCAAAAGTAGAGGAAAGTAGTCCTATTTTAATTTTAGATCACCTCACTTTTTTGAAATACAGAACAGAATCTAAGATTGTGTCATTTTCATAGTTAACTGGGTCAGTATCTAAAACTCGCAAAGTGTTCACAAGCATATGTGTCTGTGTGTGTGTTTACGACACAGGTCATCGAGAATGCCTCTTCTCAAAGGGATACTATCATCAGTGCTTTATACAGCAGTTTAAATAAAGTCATTCTTTACTGCCTGTCCAAGCCCCAGCAATCCCTCTCCGAGTGCCTCAGTCTTCTCAGCATCTTGGGCTTCCTACAGGAACACTGGGACATTATCTTTGCTACCTATAACTCCAACGTCAGCTTCCTCCTGTGTCTCATGCATTGCTTTTTGCTGCTCAGTGAGAGAAGGTAAGAGCTTCCTGCTTGTTGTTTCCTTGCCTTTTAGTGGTCCATGCAGAAAAGCAAGCTTTAGAGGGACACTTGATTGGGGTCAATTCGAATATATGTATCATTTGTATATATATATATATATACTTATATGGTTGTCCAAATTATGTGCAGTGTTTGACAGTATAGTAGATTGTCCTCAAATCTGTCCATGTAACTGAGCCGCTAGAATCATCATGGAAAAACAACTTGCCCCATTTCCACAATTCTCAGGTTGTAAGATAGCTTATTGATTTCATTTTAGGGGCAGAAAACTCCAACACTGAATATATACATTGATTTTATGATGCAGCCCGATTTCAGAAATATTAAAATTTGATAAATGCAATCTTAGACTGGGAAAATATGTAATAAATTGTATCATGCAAGCCAGGCATAATTTTCTATATGCACACAATTTATAATATAAAATGATATCCATAAGCACACTTGCATAAGAAATACTAATAAAAATAAACTGAATTAAGTTTATTTTTTTAAAGATTTTATTAATTTGTTAGAGAGAGAGAGAGAGCATGGCGGTGGGGGAGGAGCAGGGGGAGAGAGACAAGCAGACTCTGCACTGAGTGTGGAGGCCTACACAGGTCTTGATCCTACAACCCTGAGATCATGACCTGAGCTGAAACCAAGAGTCAGACGCTTAACCAACTAAGCCACCCAGGCACCCCCTGAATTAAGTTTATTTAAATTCTTTTCTTAAAGCCCAAATTTTGAAAATATGTTAGATTTCTCTGTATATATGCACTTTCTTCTTTTGAATATTCTATATCACCAGTGCCTTGGCATCATACTCCTTACAAACGTTATCTCTTATTAATAGAGCCATGTTGAGCATAGAAGAAAGGAAGGCTATGTGGTATTATACTTTGCTCTTGTCTTCTTGTTGTTGCTACTGTTGTTGTTTAACCCCAGTATAAATTATGTTTTATTACTTGAAAAAAATTCCAAAAATCCTGTCAAACTGACTATTGAATGTTATAAAACTCAACTTGATTTGTCTTAAAACTCTCTGGGAATCACTGGAAAACCCTTCTAGCCCAGAGGAGGCCCTTGTCATTTTATTTGTTTGAAATAAAAGAATCCATTTTTGGTGGGTTAAATTGGGAGGTTCTGCTTTCTTGCTCATGTTTTAAGAAGTAAGCCTACCCATATTGGAAGCATAGGTAAGAACAGAGGAATGCCAACTTATGTATATGCTTGGATTTCCACCTTTCTCAGATCCCTCTGTATAGCTAAATGGCCTCCAAATCCAAAAGGACTTTATCCTTGAAATTTCAAGAATGACTAACATAATAAAACAAAATTAAAAAAAAAGAATGGACATTCTCATATGATGGTATATTTTCATTTCCTTGTTTGTCATTTTTGGTTTAATCCACAAACGTGTACTGAGTGTTCTGCTTGGTTGGCTGAAGGGGCCCAGAGAAGAAGGCACGTGGATGTTAACATGATTAGGAGCCCTAGAGCACATGGTTCATGGGGAACACAGTATGTAAACCACTATGCCTCCACTTAGAACCAACTACATCATGTGCAGGAAAAATGGAGATGTGGGGCCTTGTTCAAAAATTATTAAGATTTCAAGACAGTGACAGCAGAACCCAAGCATGGAACATTTCTGAGTGGACCCTGTGCAACTGCACAGGTCACGGGCCCATGAAGCTGGCCTGGCCCCTTCCAGGTGGGATGAGATCAGTGCCAAACAAAGGCAGAGTTCAATATTTGGGGAATCTACAAAAACAAATGACCAGTTCCGATGGTTGGGAAACCAAGAGAAGGTTCAGGGGAACTGCTGGGAGTACGGATTAGATTTAATAAGACTGGAATTTAAAAAAAGGACTTTTTCCTATTTTTCCTATTGTTGTTGTTATAATATCTGTCACGGAAGTTGTCATGAGGTGTTTGCTTTAACTCAAATAGACAAGTTTTTCCAGCTGATATGTACTAAGTTTGGAGGATGATTATCTGTAATAAAGAACAATGGAAAGATCCCAAAGAAACTGGAGTTCATAGTGAAAAATCTCTTGTCTCCTAGTTATCCGGAAGGATTTGGATTGGAACCCAAGCCTAGAATGACTCCTTATCATCAAGTCTTTCTTTCTCCAAATGAAGAAGGGAGAGAAAAAGGAGAGGAAGACTTCCCAAGTTTGAGTGATGGTACATTATATTTGTTGTTTATTTTTGGGAGAGTGGATAGGCGGTGGTAATTTCTGGGTTGCATTCTTCAACTCTGTGCAACTTGGTCAGACTAAAAGCTTGGTGGACTTACTATAAAATTCCAGAGGACTTCACCATAAGGCGATTTCACTTCTCAGGCGGTCTCTTGAATTTTCCTTGAGATCGTTAGGGGAATTGGAATGTCATCTCACCTCGTTCAAGCTGTTACCTAGCTCTTTCTCAACTTTCTTTAGAAAATGGGAATGGAGTAAATAAATTCCTTATTTCTATGAGATTTTTGGCTTGATGGAGTTTCGTTTTGGATTTGCTAACATCAGATCAAATTAAAGGGATTGGCAATTAAAAAAAAAAAGTAGCAGCCAGATCCACGTGTTTAGAAATTGCTCTCTTTTGATCACAGGAAGCTTCAACAGACTTTCTTCCACTACTTTGGTTTGCCAACTGTGCCACTTATCTCGTGATACCAGATAGTAGGCACGAGGGCCTCTGTCTTCTGGTCATGTAGGTGCCCAAAGCCAGTGCTTAAAACTCTTGTGAGTTTAAAGTGTACTCTGACACAGTGTAAATTACAACATGGACATTCATATTTTGGGTTTGGCTAGTAAAGTGGACGGAACAATGTCCATCCTCCTAGAGCGAGAAAAATGGACTATAGAGGCTGGTACTAGAGGAGTGACTCGGTGGTCCAAGATCCAAGGGTATTTAGGCATTTAGGGTACTCTAATTATAGGGCATAGCAGGTAAAACTGGCCTGATAGGTTGGTCCATATCTGGGCAAATCCAGGGCACTGAGATTGTTGGGTGGTGGGAAGCATGATTCAGTGTCAGGAAAGAGGACTGGCTTGGGTCCTGGGTCCCTAAGCATAGTTTTGGGATTGGGTGTCCTTTCTTTTGAGGAGCCAACATAAAAGGTAGGTTAGAAGGAGCTATTGGAGGTGGTATTTAGTTACCTAGAGCTTACACAGGTATTTTTTCTGTTTGGTATCTAATGAATTTGGGGGGTAGGAGAAAGAGACTTCTTGTGTCCATCAGTAATATTTCCCAGCTCTGAACATCTGAGGCAGGCAGGACTTGGTGGTGGGCAGTTAGGGGTCGGGGAAAGGCCAGCTCACATGGAAGTTGGTAGCATTGTCTACATATTGACTGTTTTCTGGCTGGAGCTTGCAAAGCTTGAGTGATGTTCAAGAAAGATTCAATAAAAGCAGCCATGATACACCAACTCCTGGCCCTTGCTGGGAGAGGCACCAAGGCCATCCTGACTGTGTGATGTGCTCTCTCTGTTAGTCCAGCACAACATCCAAAAGACGGTGCGGACCCTCTGGCAGCAGCTCATGGCACAGAGGCGGCAGGAGCTGGAGGACACTTTCAAGATTGATCTCTCTGTGAAACCTGGAGAGAGTGAAGTGAAGATTGAAGAGATTACCCCACTCTGGGAGGAGACGATGCTCAAGGCCTGGCAGCATTACTTAGGTCTCTGTCCACTTGGCTCCAGGGAACAGAACTGTTGGGTCTCATAGATGCAGACTTTCCCAAAGTTCCACTCAGGGCCCAGAGCCTTCTCCAACCAGATTTTCTCTCTCATCCCTTTGGTGGGTGGGATTTACGTCACTGAAACCTTGTGAATCTTTGCACACAAAGAATGAACGCTTAGGTGAAAGGAAAGCCAGAGATGCAAGCAGATTCTAGTAATCTCTTAGAGAGAGTGGATGCCATGTCAGAACTCTAGTTCTAGCCTAGAGTTTAGGGTTCTAGGTCCTGCCCTGATATTCACCTACCAGCTTTGAAACCTTGCACCGAGTCATGCAGTGACCTGGAGCCCAGGTTCTTCATGTTCCAAGTGAAAGTTTTCATCCCTAAGATAGTAATGATCCTTGAATTCTTTTAGTGACTCAGCATTGCCCCCTTCATATTAGTTAATGCAGCCATAGGAATGTTGTTTTAATATTTTAATTTTTTAAGATTTTGTTTTTAAGGAATCTCTACACCCAACATGTGCTCAAACTTACAACCCTGAGATCAAGAGTCATACACTCTACCGACTGAGCCAGCCAGTCCACCCACCCGGAATTTTGTTTTTAAAGTGGTCATTGCTCCTGAACTATGGCTCATGTACTTGTTTTAAGTCTTCCAGTATCACAAAATTCACAGTGATTCAAAAGTTAGTTATTTCCATGTGTATCATCCCACATTGTCTGGCGATATAGAACTTTTATTTCATTGGCTTTCCAAACTGGCCCTGGAAAATATGTATGTATGCACATGCCTATGTGTATACATGTGTAATTTGAAGTCAAAATGTCAGATTCCATTTCAGGGAAAAGTTTAATAAGATGGGACATCTATCTCCATACACATATAGTGAATAAAGTGGTCAGATGGACCTCAGTGCTTACAAATGGCTCTCTTTTTGGCCAACAATAACATATTGAAAATTCTCGATATTTGATGACCTGTGTTTTAAACACATAATCTTACTTACTCTTCATAACACCAGAATGAGGTTAGATGCTATTATCCCCAATTTAGCTAATTTGTCCAGCGTCTCACTTTGAGTCAGTAGAGCTAGGAGTCTAAGCTGGGTCTGGTGACCTCGAAACCCGCCCTATATGTCTTAGTCAGGAGATGGCAGTGTATGCTTGTAGCCTGGGCTGTTTTCCTTATTGGAGGTGGTTCACTGGGCTTGTGCCCCTGGCTGGCTCTTTGAAAGCCAAGCCAGTTGTAGAAATCACGTGTGCTCTCCTCTCAACTTCGCCTCTGACAGTTTTTACTTCCCTGTTCCTAGCATCTGAGAAGAAGTCGCTGACCAGTCGCTCGACTGTGGGACACCACAGCAAAGTGTCTTCATGGAGTGGCAGCTTGTCTTCAGCCATGAGGCTGATGCCCGGGCGGCAGGCCAAGGACCCTGAGTGCAAGACAGAGGTGAGCTCAGACCCCTTTCCTTAGAGAAGCATCAGGCATTTGTTCCAAACCCCACAAGTCATGTCTTCTCTCTCTGTTGTTTCTGGACATGATCCAATTCCATATTCTTCTGAACATGGAAGGTTAGGCATGTGACTTCCCAGTTGAGACTGTATCTAGGGAAGCCAGGTTTTAGGCTAGCTTTAACTTGAAGTGAATATGGGCTCCCCTTGAACTCCAAGAGCAGGTGTTCCTTATGGCATTAAAACCCAAACCAGTCCTTGTTCCCACTCTCCTTTTCAGTCAGGTATGCTCAGAGAACCCTAGCTTGCAGCTCAGCAGGAGATGTATGTGTGGGCTCAGCAAAGAGGGACAGAAACATTGGCACCTTTACCAGGAGATGTAGTGGTGGATCCTCTTGACTCTGTGGGGCTGAATTTTTGTTTTTTGTTTTTTTTTTCAAATTCATTTCTTTAAAGCTGCATAGGAAACCATCCTAAAATTCAGTGGCACCAACAATGAGTTTTTCTGATCATGGATGCTGTCATAAGGAATTTGGAACACAACAGGGGTAGGGAGGTGCCTCTACTCCATGAGGTCTGGAGCCTTGGCTGGAACCATTGGAAGGCTCATTCACTCACACGTCTGGTGGTTCCTCCTGACTTTAGTCTGAGACCTCAGCTGAGACTGTTAGCTGGAACACATGTACCTAGCTTCTCCATGTGTCCTGGCTTTCTGACAACCTGGTGGCTGGATTTCAAGGGCTAATTTCCAAAGAAGGGGGAAGGAGAGAGAAAGAAAGACAGAGAGATACAGAGAGAGAGAGGGAGTCAGGCGGAAGCCACATTGCCTTCTATGACCTAACTTCACCTCTGCTGCATTTCTTTGGTCGAGACAGGCACAGAGTTCTGCCTCAGTTCAAGGGGAGGGAAATAGACTCTACCTTCTGGTAGGGAAGTGGTAAGGTTCTGCAAGAGCATGTAGGACTAGAAATACTGCTGAGGCTCTTTTTGGAGAACACAATCTGTCATATTCTAATGTTGGGGTCACTGACTTATTTTCAGAGGCAGTTTATGGTCATTGAATGGACATGACCTTAAGGTCAGAAGACCTTGGGCTATTTACTTAACTTCCCTGAATCTTTATCTCCTTATCTACACAGTGGGATAGAAAACTGTGGGGAATTGTGGGAAGGGGCTCCCCAGGGAGGTGGGATAGATGGTTGATAGACATATGACACAACTGGAGCTCTCGGCCCATGTAACTTTGGAAAATGAGGTTGACTCCAAATCCCACCTGCTCTGAATGTGGGCTCTGCTGTTCCCATGGCTCTGTCGTCCATTGTGGCCAGTGACTGATGGGAGGGCACTATCATCTGATACTAGGGAGGAGGGGAGTGAGGGCTGCCTGGGCAGGGGAAGGAGATTTTCCTCTTTCCAAGCTTCAGAAAGAAGAGGATTTAGGACATCTGGGGAAAGAGACCAAACGTAGAAGGGAAGACGGAAAAGGAACTTGACAGGGCTGTGTGGCCACCTGGTGTTCAGTACTGAGGGTAGGCTGTGTCCTCAGCATGTTGGCTTGTGGAAAACCCTGCTCGGTAAGCTTGTTGACTGGCTGACCGAGTGAGTGAACAACTCACTTAGATTCGTAACAGGTGTATCACACAGCTATTATCAGCCCCATTATATAGATGTGGAAACTGAATCTTAAAAACAAAAAAACAGTCAAGGGCTTTGCAGCCAGGAAATGGCAGTGTGAAGAAAGGATCTCCTGTCTCTGTACTGCCAGACATGACCTTGGGCAATTCTGTGACCTCTCAGAGCCTCAATTCCTGATCTTAGCAACTGGGACTGTGTTCTGTTTACACTAGAACCTGTGGAAGCCCTTGGAAACTGCAAGGGCTTTAGAAATGGAAGACAGTTTCTGAAATTCCGTCTTACCTTATCAGTCCCTGCCAAAGGGAGGACCATCTCACGGGTGGTATGGCTGCGCCAAGCCCCAGAAGCTGGAGCATCCCCACCTGTGCCCAAGCACTTGCTCCTGACTAGCGGGGGTCCAGCCCCTCTTCCCCTGGCTTCACCCTGGAACTTCCATTCCTTGAGCAAGTCAGCTCTGTCCCCAGGAGGTCAGTTCAGTCTGGCTGTGGAAGCTAGGGAAGCGACAGCTGGGATGCTGGACATGGGCATGCATTATATGGGAACCCTTGTAGGCTATGGATGTGCCTCTTGCCAGTCCCCCACCCCCTCCCAGGTCGCTGTCATTGGCATGGCTCTGTTGCCTCTGAGTGCTGGGGAGACTGGTTGAGAAATGGTTCATCTGAAAGCAGCTGGAATAGATTGCAGTGTTTGAGGCCCTGTAGGTCTACAAATGGCTTGTAATAGTTTGCTGTGGGCTCACATGGAGAGATCTGGAGGCAAGAATATTTTAAATTGGCTGTCTTTGGTGAAGGCAGGCTGCTGAAGATACTGTCTTCCACATCAGTTGAGGTCTCCATTCATTCATTCACTCAACAAATATTTATTAAGTACTTACTTTGTACCCTGCTAAGCACTGAGGCTACAGAAGAGAGAAAATCTGACATATTCTTTGCTTTCATGGAGACTGCATTTTAGGAGGTAAAGATAGACAATCAACAGATAAATAATTTGTAAATATGGAGGGTGTTAATTGCAATGAGGAAAAATGGAGCAGGGTAAGTGGAAGAGGCTGGCTATTTACGTGAAGGTGGTCAGAAGCCCTCTCTGGAAAGGGGCGTGGGAACAGAGAAATAAGGAAGAGACTCTCTGGAAAGAGTGGTCAGGCAAAGAGGGGACCGTCAGACAAAGGTGCTGAGACCGGCCTGTGCTGGGGTGTTCTAAGGCAGCAAAGGACAGTGTGGCCAGACTGAAGTGGGGAGAGGGCAGCCCTGGGTGACATCTCCCTTAGCTGTCACCATCAGGAAGACCTGTGCCTTTCCAGAGCAACTCACGAACACTCTGTCACACTTAGATTTCTCGGCACAGTCATCTGGGCACTCAGAAGCTCGGAGAGATAACCGTGGCCCAGCTCTTGTAACCGCACACACCCAGAGCCATAAATGTCTGCAAAACACATGCACATGTGCACACACGTACATGCACACACCCCTCTCCCTGCTTCTGCCTTCCTGTTTGAACCTTGTCCCTCTTCGATCTGATTTAGTCATCCTTCCTTCAGCTCATATTATCTTGCGGACTTTTAAAAGACAAATTCGTTTTGAAACAAAGTGGACTGTTTTAATTTTAAAAATGAACTGTGTCTTTGCTTTGGAGCATCCTATACCAGTAACTTGCTCTGGGCTGGGCACAGTGCCTGGTACATAAGAGGCTCTTAAAGAATGTGTGCAGCACTGTATGGAGCGAGGGAATAAAATGCTTTCCCTCTTTTCGTTGAGATGAAACTCAGCAGCCTTCACATCCTGCATCCATCACTCATCCTCGCGAGATGCCTTTGTTGCTAACAGAAGGCACAACTTCTCAGGTACATATGTAGACTGTGATGTCATAGGAGAAGAGCATCAACTATCTGCCCTGGGGTCTGTTTAATTATTTTTAAAAATTAATTTTGATTATTACAGCTGATTACACCTCAGTGAGCAATGTAATTGATATTTTCTAATGTATCCCAAGGAACATTTTGTACAACACGCTTTTTGTTGTTGAAGGTTAAAGACTCCGTTATTGGTTTTTGCCTAAATATGCCCACATCATTAGTCCCTCCAGTGAGAAGGTCGCCATCTGGAAAAAGCAGCATGGAGACATTATTCAGGCACAAGTGCATGAAATTGGTGTTTCTTCATCTTCTGTCTCTCTTCTGGAAAGAAGAGGCTTGTAATTAAAGGAGTTGGTTTTGGAGGAAACATTATTCATTTGATGTTATTCCTTATCATGTCAGCAGCTGACAGCTCTGTAGCACTGATAAATTGCTCCTTGGAGTGAGACATACGATGTACCATTCCTAATTCCTTTTACCTATCTTTGTTTTCAGTGGAAAATGTTTTCCTCTTGGCAGGTTAGCTGAACTTTGGGGCAAGGCTGGTATGATGGATGTTACTTCTTCCTTTTCTTCTCCTGACCCCATCACAGTCCCCTCTGGGATCAGATGGTGGAGTCATGGCCTCTCCTGTGGTGAATGAAGGCTGTGGGGGTCAGCCTGTCAGACAGAGCTTGGGACCTTGGGCTCCCTTGAGGCCACCAGACACCAATGATGCTGTCCCGGAAGCTGCCTCCTGATGTCCCCTTTCAGCTTAGGGCAACCCATAGTGTGTACCCCAGCCAGTCGTTCCTCTTCCCAGCACTGTGTGCAACCTGCCGACCCAGTTTTAGACTTTCTTCTTTAACAGTAAGTTGAAAAAAACATCAGCAACTCCTGCTGGCTTCTTAGCTCTGACAGACACACCAAGGCAGTGTATGTTGTTAACATTATGGGGAAGCAGGTGAGGGGTTGATGGAACCCTCTGGACTATCTTTGTAACTTTTCTGTAAATGAAGAATTATTCCAAAATATGTAGTAGGCAGTCTTCCCTTTTTTTCTTTTTCTTTTTTAGAGAAGGAGCATTAGCAAACGGAAAACAGGCAGACAGGACATGAAAGGCTGGGTGGGAAGGGGCCGTGAGGATGAGGGGGTGTGAGTCCTGTGAGCAGGGGGATGATGGAGGTCACCGCAGGACGCAGGGAGGGCGCCATGGCTCATGCTAGATGTGCCCGAAGTGAGGGCTTAAGTAGTGGGGGAGCAGTCCGTTTCTGTCTGTAGGGGTAGGATTGGAGGTTAGAGCCCCCAGAGAGGGGCCAGGCTGGTGGCTGTGGCATCATTTAGATGGGAGATAATGGAGGCTGCAGGGGCAGGGGTTGGAGCAGTGGAAATCAAAGAACACACAAGAAAATTCTGTTGAACCAAGGCTGGGATGAGCAAAAGAGGAGGGCTGCCACAGACAGAGGCCCTGGACTCTTTGTAATCAGACAGTGAGGAGAAAGGACACTGGGGTGTGGCAGGTGTGGGAGGTG